TACTTCTGTCTCTGTTTTCTCTTTCTTTTCGCCTGCGTTTTACTATCCTTTCTGCTTTGGCGTTTGGTTGGTGGATGGAGCAAACTGCCCGGTAATTGGGCTACTCGGGGTTATTTATATCCATAGGGCGTTTTCAAAGTCGAAATCGTAATTGCCACTTGCTTCTATTCTTTACCTGATGCGCATAATGATAGCGCAGGGCTCAATGTCGCATTGCATAGCGACTACTAGGGACTTTGGTCCTATTGCGCTTGTGCCTCCCTCGGAGTGGTTGATATACTTCAATTTGGCACGAGCCGATGAGAAGTTTATATTCCACAACGACATCCTAAGATGCGTGTAAGAAATTCAGCTGTCAACCACAACCTCGTTATAACAGCTACCTCCGCTGTCGCCACTACTATCAAGCCCACTCCGAGGACGCGCCCTTTTGGCCGAGGTTAATCCCGGTGGTTGGTGTCCGGACGTCCGTTTGGTTAGTTTTGGTCTTGTCCCTTGGGTTCCTTGGGTCCACTCGTGAATGCCATGTCGTACGTTCTTAAGAAGTACATTGACTGGTAGCTTTTTCTCTTCCTTCGTCTGACTATTTATAGAAATTTTAACCCACTTCCGATCGCCCTTATGGTGAACAAGCAATCCGGCCCCTCCGCTACCTCCATTATGGTGGATGAGAAGTGTGGCCCCTTCTCCGACCATCCGGGTACTTCCCGAGTTCCCCTATTTCCACCGACGTCTCGAGCCTAAGAGGATGCCCGGCACTATGCCTAGTTCATCGAAAGCAGTCAGGTACTACAACATAGAGAAACGTGTTGAATTATGAACTCGAGCGCAGATAGATATGTGCTCAGATTTACCTGGATATCGCAGTGCATAGCGACCACTGGGGACTTTGGTGCTATTGACTTTCAACAGCAAAAAATTGGCCATTCACGACTTATTATAACGTAAAATCATTCAATGGGCCACTTCTACTCACATACTCCGTAGATGTCATATACATATCAAAAAGCCGTTTTATGAAAAAAGGGTCTCTCATCTGAGACATTCTATAGGCTCTGACTACTCTGGTTCGTTTCTAGCCCCACCCTTGAGACGAGAAACGTGGCATAATAACGGCGGGTCCACACGACCAGTGGGCAGACAATAGCTACGAAAATGGCATAACGTATGATTTGGATCGCCTCAAACGCTGCATCCCATCATGGGAAGTAGTCTTGTTGGGTCTAAATAAGATGGCTGGGATAGGGCGGATAGTTCTACCGCAAGAGTAACAAATCACTCTATATAAAACATAGTTTTGTATAGAAGATTACTTATGCTGGATTGTTTATTGACTCTAAGCTCAGCAAAGTGAAAGAAAAGGACTTATAAGTCAACAATGGGGCGGGTCAGTCATACAGATTTGAAATAGTCTAGGATGTATATATATTACTGAACCAACAAAATATCTCACGGATCACAATATTAACATTCCAAATGCTCAACAGCATCATACATCTTCCTTCTTAGGTAGGCTCTCCTTGCGCTTCCCACGTGTCATAATCCGTTCGACAATCTCGATTCCAAACCCAGTCCATAGACTCAATGCCACAACAAAACACAGCCCACTAACCCAGCCGTGTGTCTTGGTGAATTTTGGCGCCTGTCCACTAGGGAACTGCAACTGCTGGAAGGGAATAACAACAGCTGATCCAAGACTGACCATAAATGCCAAGACAAATGCTCGCAGTTGTTGATCTCCGCCGCATGACGCATTGACCCAACCAGCAAGTAGAGGCGTATAACATCCGTAGCAGCCGGAAAGAATGAAAGCGGCCATTTTCAATCCATTCGATGAAGGCCAAGCCGTGAAAACAGCAAAGCAGAATGTCAGAAGACACCCAACTGCGAAACAGACGGGTCCTCGTCGGCCAATTTTATCGGCGACATATCCCGTACCGATCATGAAGAAAAAGTTGATGGCACCCATGGAAGTAGGGATGCTGTTAATCTCAGGTACGGTGTATGTCTTTAGCGATTTAAGCCAAAGTCCAAAGAACTGCATCACGTATGAACCACACGTGAGAGACCACAATGCGTATCCGATGGAAAAAGCATATAATTGCCATGATAAAAAGATGCGCTTGAAGACAGAGTGGTCCAATTTTCCCACGGGAGTTCGGCCTTCTTCGTCGATTCTCTGGCGAGCGCGATTCCTCTCCCATTCCGAGAGATAGAAGGCCGTCGTGTTGTGAGGCGTATCGGGGTAGAATATAAAGCCATAGATGACCACCGGGATGGCGAGGATGAAATCAAAGATGAAAAGCCATCTCCAGGCCGACAATCCAGCTTTCCCATCCATGTCTTTGAACAGTGCTGCTTGCAGGTAGCCCGAGAACATCTGTCCCAGGACACCGGACACGACGAAGAGACCACTTCGGCGCGCGAGTTCAGATCGGCGGTACCAACACCCAAGGACGTACTGGATTCCAGGCCAGGCGGCGGACTCGAAGAACCCAATACAGAACCGAAGACCGTAGAACGCGGATGCATTGTTGCATTTGTACAAGAACAGTACGAAGAGCGACCAGGTAAGCAGACAGCCAGGCAGCCAGTACCGCGGTCGGATCGTGGTCAAGGCCATATTTGAGATTGGCCCTCCGACAATGGCGCCAATGTTGAAATAGGTGTTCATCCAGCTGAGTTCATTCCCCGGTCCAAACCCAAGCTCCTCTTGCATGCCGGAGACGTAGGCATTGGATATATTGTTTCCATCTAACTGCTTGATGAAAAAGCACAGACAGCTGTAGCTCAGAAGGAACCAGTCGAGTTTGAAAATGAGCTTTTTGTCGGCCTTTGAAGTGCCGGGCTCATGCCAGTGGAACCAACCTTTGGGGGGTTCAGACTGATTCTGACATGAATCCGTTTGGCTATGGCGGTCTTGTTGTAATTCTGAGTGGTCGCTGTCCAATTCTTTAGGAGTTGAAATTGGCTTTTGAACCCCGATCTCTTCGACTGGTTTAGTCATTGTGGATTTGTGAGACAAACGTCCGACGCGTCAAAAAGGATTTCAGATCCCCTTCTGTGACGAGAAGATCATTTATAATAAGGGAGAGAGGAGTTTTAATGTACTAGTACTTTGTATATTCTAGAACAACTGCAACAAAAAAAGCATATACAACCTTATCACGACATTTAAACTAATTGTTGCGTGGACTCTCCGTGCCAAAGATGAGATAGAGTGGCCGATCCGCTCAAATATTCCTCTTACAGAAATATTCTCGGGGCGGGGCCGACACCACGAGATAAGCTTGGCAATCTTGGCGTTGGACTTCTCCCCGGCTTCGGCTCAATTTCCTATTTTGACTATTATCTATTGGAGTACCCCGGTATATTGGAGGAGATGATCGATTTTCAGTTTGATCATTCCTATCTCGTTTCTCTACCTCCATTTTTATATTTGCTATAACACGCAATGGTTGAATACGTCTCTATCAATGGCGCCCAGTTAGCATACCGATTAATTGGACCTGCAGATGCACCGTTGATAATCACTCTACACGGTGGGCGAGGTTTTGGTTAGCCTCCAGTCTACTCCTATGAATCAAACGTTCTAAGGTCACTAATAAAATGTAACAGGCGACCATAAGTCAGATTTCAAAGCATATTCACCCCTTTCGTCCTCGTATCGAGTACTTTCATTCGACTTCCGAGGACATGGTCAAAGTTCACGAACAGAGCCTTTCACATTTCATCAAATAGTTGAAGATATTGAAGGTTTAAGGCGCCATTTTCTTGGACCTAATCAACCCTGTATCATATGTGGTGGTAGTTTTGGGGGATTTCTAGCCCAGCAGTATGCAATCACATATCCGTCTCAGGTTTCCCATTTGATTCTTCGGGGAACTGCTCCTTCACATCACCGTAAGTGCTACTATAAGTTTCGTGCAACATCTGGCGTCTTTTCTAACTTTTAGCAGATGAAGAAACGGCTATCCGTACTCTGGAACAAAGGGCATCTAGAGCCCCAAATCTTTCCATCAACTTCCTGAAAGATAAGATATTCGGTCAATTCGAGAGCGATCTGGAATTTCGACTTGTCATGTACGCAGCTGCACCGCTATATAGCGAGAGCTTTGACCCGGATCTCGCGTTGAAGCACAACATCGAGACCGTCTTTTATGCAAAGTCCCACAGTGAGTTTTTCTCAACCCCCAAACAGAATGAAGCTGACCGCGCAAAGATGACCTCTATTCCAAGCAGGAGAAGTTCTTCGATTATAGGGACCAACTTCCATTGATCACGGCGAAAGCTTTGGTTATTGTGGGTGAGCGCGATTGGATTTGCCCACCGGAACAGTCCAAGGACATCGCTTCGAGGATTCCAGGAGCGCAGCTGAAGGTTATTGAAAATGCCAATCACAGCGTGCATCTAGAGAAGAATGCGGAGGTGATCGGACTCATTGAGAAACATCTTTCGTAAGATTTCTTTTGGAGCCGGTATGTTTTAGCAAGGTTGATGCTTTAAAAAGATAGTACCACTGAATGAAGATATCTACGTTCTATGATATATTGTATTGTATCTGAAGCTCTCCCGACATTCCTTTCATTGGCGCCTGATATACGTCTTTCTAGAGGGTTTCAAGTCTCGTTCATACCTAACCTCTGTGAATATATTTTGTCACTACCTAGTAGAGTCTCCGATGAATTCGCATAGCTGATTTTTCAACCGTGGACATGTAAATAGTGGACAGTGGCAAATTTGATATGGCGTTACTGTTAGAGACTGCTGGATAGTGAACCAGATTTCCTCTTAGACGTCGGCCAACCTCCGAAAATAATATCCACTTCTAGACATGAGTGGGGAAATCACCTCAAAACCACGAGATAACGCGTGATTTCAGTGCCGACAACCAGCGATATCAATATTCAATCGGAATGCTAAAGACCAACTGATCTTGGCGACGCTTGCGACGACGTTTGCGACAGAGCTCTTTGTCAAATCGCACATAGTCAGCCACCATGACGACTGCCCCAGGCATAAACATCTCCATCGGTACGTGCACTCTATACCGCTCCTGATTAAAGAAATCGTACTAAACGGCCAAGATCGCGGCGGCACGTTCTGCGATGTCCTGGTTCAAATCCCCGGTCGTGATGACCTTGTATTCAAATTGCTGTCGGAAGATCCGCAGAACTACCGTGACGCCCCAACAGAGGCGATTCGAAGGGCACTAGAGATTATCGAAAACCGCCAAATACCAGTGGGTGAAAAGCTAGACGGGTCCCGAATAGCCTCCTGCCGTATTGGGACAACCATAGCGACCAATGCGTTGCTCGAAGGCAAAGGTCGAGATTTTGCATTTGTCACTACGAAAGGCTTCAAAGATGTCTGTGTCATCGATGATCAGACCCGACCGAAGCTGTTTGCCTTGAATGTCAGAAAGCCTCCTGCGCTGCATTCACCTTCGGTTGAAATTGACGAACGCATCACTATCGAGGACTATGATCTTAATCCATTTCCTTTAGATAAAGCGGCCAAACTCACAGATCCTGCACTGGTACGAACACCCAGTGGGGAGGTGATAAGGGTGTTGAAAGCACTTGATCCCGTCGAGGTTCGAGAAGTGCTGAGCGGGCTGCTGTCTGCAGGGTATACATCTTTGGTCATCTCTTTTATGCATTCCTATCTGTATTCTGGCCATGAGGACCAGGTAGCCGACATCGCGCAAGATATGGGCTTTGAAACTGTGATCAAAGCTTCCGAAGTCAGCCCTGTCATCAAATTCTTGCAACGCAGCAGTTCGGCTTCATCAGAGGCATACTTGTACCCAATCGTGCGGGATTATATTAAGGCGTTCCAGACCGGCTTTAGTGTACTTCCTCAGCGAGTGGAGTTCATGGGATCTGACGGAGGCTTGAGACAAGCGGACAAGTTCCGCGGAAATGAAGCTCTTCTCAGCGGGCCAGCTGGGGGCGTTGTGGGCATTGCTCGAACTTGCTTTGATGCTGCCGAAGGGACTCCTGTTCTTGGGTTTGACATGGGAGGAACCAGCACAGATGTTTGTCGGTATGATGGAAAATACGATTATCTGACGGAGACGACGGTGGGGGGTCGAAAGATCACAACGCCGATGCTGAACATCGCGACGATCGCGGCCGGCGGAGGTTCGATGCTGTTCGCCCGCCATGGACTCTTTGTCGTTGGACCTGAGAGCGCAGGGGCTCACCCTGGTCCTGTGTGTTACCGAAAAGGAGGTTCTCTTACTGTGACAGACGCCAATTTGTTTTTGGGAAGACTGGTCCTGTCTTCATTTCCGGCTATCTTTGGCCCGAATGCGAACCAACATCTCGATCTGGATGTTACCAAACAAAAATTTGATGAACTCACTCGCGAGATCAACGAGCAAACTGGGCAAAAGCTCACCCCCGAGGAGGTGGCATTCGGATTTCTCGATGTCGCAAACGAAACCATGACCCGACCAATGCGCAACGCAACAGAAGTGCGAGGATTCGCGCCAAGCAGTCACACCTTGGTCAGTTTTGGAGGGGCTGGAGGTCAGCATGCTTGCTCAATTGCTAGCAAACTCGGCATCACACGGATCCTCATCCACAAACACTCTTCACTGCTATCAGCAGTCGGAATTTCTCAAGCCGATCTGCAGGTCGAAAAAACAGTCCCTGTTGTTGGTTCCTTCGATTTCAAAGTGCTGGACGACATTCGAGCTCATATCAGCAACCTGAAATCCCAAGCTGAATCTGCCCTTCTCTCACAGGGCGCAGATCCATCCACTGTTGTCTTTGAAGAATCCCTGAGTTTGAGATATACCGGTACAGACACCAACATTGTCGTGCCCAAACCTAAGGATGAAGATTATGGGGCCTCATTTATAGCCACACATCTGCGAGAGTTTGCATTCGTTCTCGACAGAAAAATACTGATCGACTCGATCAAGGTCCGTGGTGTTGGCCGAAGTGGTGTTGCTATCGAGGAAGTATCACCATATTCGCAGCTAGAACAAGTCAAGTCTCTAAATGACTATCTGCAGGCTGATCGAACTCAGTCTGTATATTTCGATTCAAAGTGGCAAAACGTTCCGATATTTCAACTTACCTCAATCCAGCGACCCTCTCAGGTCCGAGGTCCTGCCTTGTTGATTGATGCGACTCAAACGATATTCGTGGAGTCTACCTTTGATGCCTTCCTCCTCCCAAATCACCTGGTCCTCGAGAAATCGGAGACTAAAACCCCCTCCAATACCGAAGTATCTCAGTCCGAGACTATCGACCCAATCCAGCTTTCCATTCTTTCTCATCGGTTCATGGCAATTGCCGAGCAAATGGGCTACACACTGCAGCGCACCTCTATTTCAACCAGCATAAAAGAGCGCCTGGATTTCTCGTGTGCCATCTTTTCACGGGAGGGAAAATTAGTAGCTAACGCCCCGCATATCCCCATTCACCTCGGAAGCATGCAATATGCAATCCAATACCAGCACCGTCTATGGGAAGGAAAGTTGAAGGCCGGCGATGTTCTTCTCAGCAATCACCCTGAATGCGGTGGAACCCATCTTCCAGATCTGACTATCATCACTCCCGTCTTTGTGGACGGCGAGACCACCGTTGCTTTCTATGTTGCGGCTCGTGGTCACCATACGGACATAGGTGGACAAGGAATCACATCTATGATGCCAGACTCCAAGGAACTGTGGCAAGAAGGGTTCAATGTTCGCTCGATGAAAATAGTGGATAATGGTGTTTTCCTTGAAACCGATGTGCGCAATGCCTTCTTGGCTGCGGGTGATCTCCCTGGGTGCAGCCCAAGTCGTCGATTGGACGATAATATCTCCGACATCAAGGCGCAGGTTTCGGCAAACCAGCGTGGTATTCTTCTTTTGCAGAAGATGTGTGCCGAATTCACTTTCCCATTTGTGGATCGCTATATGAATGCTATCCAAAGGAATTCCGAAACAGCAGTCAGAGAATACCTTAAGAGTGTTTCCCAGACTAGGACCATGCCCCTGACCGCCAGTGATCACTTTGACGATGGCACCGTTATCAAAGTGTCTATCTCGATCGACGAAGCTGGCGGGGCAGTGTTTGATTTCACGGGGACTGGTCCTCAGATGTGGGGAAACTATAACTGCCCTATCTCCATCACCCATTCAGCCGTGATCTACAGCGTCCGGTGCCTGCTTGATGCAGATATCCCTCTCAATGATGGCTGTCTATCGCCTATAGACATTCGCATCCCCAAAGGATCAGTTCTGAGACCCAGCGCCTCCGTGGCCATATGCGGCAGTACGCTAGCAAGCCAGCGTGTAATTGACACAATCTTGCGAGCGTTCGAGAGCTGTGCAGCATTTTCCGGCTGTGCGAACAGCTTCGGCTGGGGCATGGGGGGAGGAATCCTGCCACTGGGATTATTGAACCAGGGTGGAATTATGGTGAAACCGTAGGAGGCGGTTGTGGTGCTGGACCTGGCTGGCACGGAGAACATGCCATCCAAGCCCACTCGACAAATACGAAGATTACAGATGCAGAGGTTGTTGAGAAGCGAACCCCTGTCATTATTCGCAAACACGCGATCAACCCCAATACTGGTGGAGATGGCGAGTATCGAGGAGGGAATGGTGCGGTCCGTGAAATCGAGGCTAGAATTCCGCTTAAATTTAGCATTCTCAGTGATCGACGGGTGTTTTCTCCGTATGGTATGAACGGTGGTCAACCTGGTTCTGTGGGAAAGAACTATGCATTCAAGTGGAATGAAGAAAAGACGGCTTTGGAGAGACTTTCTCTTACTGGGAAAGCCGCACTCGCGCTGCAGGCCGGGGAGATTATGCAAATCAATAGCCCTGGTGGAGGAGGTTGGGGTGTTCATACTTGATGTGTTTCGATGCTTTTGTAGAACAGTGACATTTTTAGATCTTTGTTATTCTATTCCTTTGTGTGTTCTACATATCTTTTGGCCAATCTATCGTGCCCATTATCACACCTTGGCAATACTTTAAAGCATTCAACCTCTTTTCCATTGGGAATATATATCATTGAGGATCGATGTAGCGGGATAAATGAATATCAAAGACTGAAACCGGTGCCTTTACCTAAACTAAATATATGTAGCATCACTCTCCGATGATGCGTTCCAAATAATCCAGCCAGTTCTCCCCCAACACCTTCTGCATCTTTGATTTCGACCAGCCTGCCCGAGCCATAGCCTTGGCCAGTTCTGGGCGTTCCTTCAACAGGCCCAGAGGCTTCACAACCATCTGGCTTCCCCAGGGAGTGAGGCGACGCGCATAACCTTTATCTAGATTACACCAGGCCATAAAATCACTTGGTCGAGCATGTCCCTCACTAGCATCTGAGCCAACGCCGACCAGATCCTCGCCAATCAAATCGATAACAAAGTCCACAGCAGCAACATAATCGTCGATAGTCGATTCATTGCCCTTGGCCATATGCGGTCCAAATTGACTGATTCCAACAAACCCACCCTTCTTCCCAATGAGCTGCAAAAGATAATTTGACTTGTTACATGGATGCTCGTGAAGTCCGCCTGGCAACACATGGCTGAAGCAAGGGGCCTTAGACGCATACTCGATAACATCTTCGCTAGTCACCGGACCAACATGCGATAAATCAACCACGATGCCCAACCGACCCATTTCATCGACAACTTGTCGACCAAATCCAGTCAAACAGGAGTCTCGAATCTCGGTATACCCTGCCCCAGAGTAATTCTGCGTGTTGTAGGTGAGTTGCATCTTGCGCACACCCAAGTCGCGGAAGACACGTAGGTAATCTAGTTGATCTTCGATGCCGGCTGTGTTTTGCCAGGACAATAGAACGGCTGTTTTGCCGTTGCGCTTTGCTTCGCGGATGTCACTGACCGAGTGTGCCTGTACGATGAGGTCGGAATGTTCCTCGAACCATTTCTTCCATTGTACCACGTTGGCAATGGCGCCGCGGAACCCTTCCCAGATACCGCATGTGCATGACACGCCGGTGATACCGCCCTGTTGCCAGGCTTCAAAAATCTCGCGCGACCAGTTGGCGATGTTCAACCCGTCAAAGACGATGGCGTCGCGGTAGATTTCCACCGCTTCGGTCTCAGATACCATGATCGGAGTAATTTATGGGAGACGAATAAAATGAAAGAAGATATGAATACATTGCGAAAAATCATGTTTTTGAATATACAACGCGGTGCGGCACCGATGGGTATTTCTCGTTGCGGGAAAGAATGGCGTGCTCCGTTGGTTATCACGGTGTCTCCCCGAAATTGACCCTTTTCATCCGACAATAATGGAGGGCTCCATCCATCGCTTTCGAGTCCATCGCAATTCTTCAAAACCGGAGACACGACGATCCCGGGGTAGACCCGCAGATACCAACGGCCGTAAACCCCCTTTACCGGCGTGTCGCCGCTGTCGCCAGCAAAAGAAGCGGTGCACCAGAACAGACGAAGGATCTTGCAAGCCATGTCTTGTTGCTTGGCTACCTTGTTCTCTGATGGAACGCTCTGCGAGTCCACAGACGCGCGAACGAGAATTGCAATCACGCATTGACTGGCTGAGCCAGCTTGTTAATGAAACACTCCCCGCCGGTAGATCGGTGGAAGACATCGAGACTGGGCGAGATATGGCCTTGGGTACCCCGATGCAGTCTCCCTCACTTGATGCTAGTGAAATAGAGCCCAGTGAGAGTGCTTTTGAGGAAATCCATACTTCCAAAGCCGAGGAAGACGGGCCCATTTCCGTTACAGCAGGTCGCAAATGCTTGCAGGCCTACTTCCGACACGTTCATCGGACATACCCATTTCTTGACAGCGAACTCGTTCTTCGAGATTTCGAAACACTTGCCAATAAAGAAGCAGACGATGGCCTTCTCCCCCGGTCGGCTGTGCCCACCCGCCTCTACATGATAATGGCCATCGGCTTCACAAGCCTGCAGCGGGCTGGAGAAGTGCAAAGCATCGAGGAACGGGATTTCCAGCCGTGTCTCAAAAGAGTGCTCTGCGAGTGTGTCTGCCAAGTGAATGAGCAATCAGTGGGCACCTTGCTCCTCCTCGGCTTGTATCTCCTCTTCGTACCCTGCGACCAGGACCCTCGAGCCATTACCGGTGTTCTGACCAGTCATGCTCTAGCAGTCGGACTGATGAACGAAACTCCTACCAATCAGAGCCTCTCGCCTCGGGTACTTGAGCTACGTCGTCGGCTGGGTTGGTCAGTGTATGTGTTCACTCGCATGGTCAGCATATCGTATGGGCTTCTATTTGCCTTCCCTGACAGTATAATGCGGATACCGCTGCCAAGCATTATGATACACGAATATGGTTCCGAAGAAGGACATCAGTACGCGATAGCGCTACAAGTCAGCCGGCATGTGATTTCTCTACGACGACTCGAAACACGCATTGTCAATGCCATTTACGATCCACATCCTTCTATGCGTCCGCAGGACCTACGCCTCCAAATTGAAGATTGGTATACACAGGGCTGTCTACTATCAAGTTCTACTTTATCAGAACAGGATCAGCTTCCCTTTCATACTACCATAACATGGCTCAATGTCCGCTACCAAAACTTGCTTCTTCTGTTGTACACTCCTGCACAGGGAGACACAACTGAAGAAAACCTGGCGAGCCTCAAGACTGCTGCGCAGCAGTACATACAGCTGAGTCTAATCCTGCATGAACACCGACATCTACCCATGAATTGGATTACCCTCTGTCGCCTCCTTTCATTAGCAGCAATTTTCCTTTACTGTACTGCTCGGTGGGCAGCCTTTGACGACATTCCGGAGATTGATCTCCTCGTGACGCTGTTTGAACTATTTCCTTCCTCTTGGCATGCTGCACATGAAGCCTCTCGGATTTTGAGGCGCCTCGCGGATATTACAACAAAGCAAAAGAGTCCCTTAATTCCATGCAGACAATTATCTGGGTCTTCTGTGATGCCTAATTCGAGTCTGGATACTGAATTGGGACTGCAATCAATCCAGGATGACTTGGCTGTATTGCTGAGGCAAACCATGGGCGAGGCAAGCTTTTACATCTGGCCTCTGAGGTCCAAAGTGACAGAGAGACGAGTTTCTCAATCTCTCACTATGCATAGCTTCAATTTCCTGCCTGATAGTGGAAATTTCGCTACTCGCGTTGGTATTGGGAGTCCGGCAGATAACAATATGGGTGAGACCGCATTCGAGACGCATTGGATGAACCTTCTGGGTGGCGTAGGATCTGATATGCTCTGAATGGGACTTATATTTTTCGTTTCCTGATTCCGGTCAAGCTGCATCTTCTATGTTAAGTCTAGAGAGTCTAACGGGATTCTTATATCGTTTGATCTATGTCTTTGCACCGGTTATTTTAGTGTCTTTCTTGACATCATTTGAGACATCTTTCTAGTCCCCTTTAACATCGGTTCATTGGGATAGCTTCAATGGCTAGTCCCTCTTTATCTGCGGCAATAAGACAGTCTACAGACGCGCCTCGGCATCTGGAACATAATCCCTCTCAAAGTCAAACCCAAGGTCTTCCAAAGCCTTTATCTCACCCCGTCGACTACCAAGCGCCTGCGACGCCTGTTTGATCAACGGGAATCTCTCACGCGTCCACTTCTCTTTCTCACCCCAGAAGGGCGGCCTTTTACCACGCCCATCATTCTCCAACCCATCCTTCCGAGCTGCATGCGAGCTCAACTCGTACAGTGAATTGATGTAATCTGCATCGAGCGGAAAAGCAAGGGTGTTGAACCCGCGTCCCTCGCCGCGAGTTACTACCCAGTCGCTAATCCACCGCTCCATTTCAGCCTCGGAAGGCAGTGAGAGTCGTCCTGCTAGGACGCGCGCGACCCATGCCCCTTGCGCCTGACTGAAAGGGAATGGAACAATCCGCTGGGGAAACCCGATTAAAGCGATGGTCGGCTCTTTGCTGTAAAACACATGCTGGTACAAATGGTGCGGACGCACGCCATCTGTGACAATGGATGGCTGGAGACTTGACAAGAATGGAATAGAGAAGTGGTAGCCCGTGCAGAAGACGATGTGATCAACATCTCGCTCTTCATGGCCATTGGCAAACTGCACACGGCCATCTTCGACACTGAGGAGACTGATTTCAGGAAGGCTTTGGGCAACGGCGGCTTGTTCTGGAGAGAGATTTGTTGCCGTGCGTTCCGAAATCAGTAGCGGGTGTTTTGATACACGCCCGATTTGGTTTGCGATGTCAATGCCAGAGGCAGAGTGTCCCACGACAATCACTTTCTATTTCTAGTTAGTAATTGTTTGTTTTAGAGGGCGGGCCGGGTACATACCTTGTTTGCAAATGATTCGGGACGCCTATAAGAGGATGAATGGATGATAGAGCCTGGATAGGTTTGACTCCACTCATCTAAGCCAGTGATTTTGGGGATATATGGGTCATTATGATGACCATTGGCGACTACCACTGCATCGAATTGCTCGACCAAAATCTCATTAGTTTTCAGATCGCGCCAGGTTACAGTCCACTCTGGCTTTGGGTGCTTTTTTGACAGTGTGACATCCAAAATCAAAGAGTTCAGACGTATGTATGCCCGTAATTCCTCTGCATACCGATGAAGATAGTCTCGCACAACGGTATGGGCTGGGAATAGCGCACTAGCCGCGGGGAACGGATACTCGGTAAACTGCATCAACGATTTGGGAATGTTTGTTTCAAGTGCGTCGTATACAGGGGAAGCAAAAGTCCCTTTCACGGGCTGTTGAGGCTCCTGACTTGGGTTGGGACGGGCAAGTGCCGATGTGCTGATGCCCTCATCACCGGTGTAGTTCCAAACACCGCCAGGTTGGTCGCGCTGTTCGAATATTGTGATAGACTTGAATTTTCGTTCAGCAAGAAGATACCTTGGCATAGTATTAATTATTCACGTTCTTCTTGTCTCGATAGGCAAACACGTACTTTGCAACTCCTAGGCCGCAGGGGCCTGCGCCGATAACAGCTACCCGGTCGATTTCCATAATGATTCGTGGAAAGACTAAGACTTCTTGCAGTAGCTGTGCTATTTAATGTTCAGATATGGGATGTTGCCTTGCGCCATAAGCTTATATAATGTGCAGTTTCGTCCCAATGCGGTAAAACCTGTCGGAGCCGCGCCGCTAGGGCTCTATGATGTGCTTGTCGAGAACAATTGGCAAAAGTGTTAGCTAGTATAAATATTACTTCAATGAAATGAGATAGAATGAAATGGTAGAACATATTATATTACTCACTGCTAAATTTAGTGACCATGTTGTCCGGAGATCAATTGAAACCAAGACCTGAGGTCAAGGGCCAGGAGCTCGACCGACCAAGCAATGAGGAGGCATCTTTACCGCAAACGAGGCGAGCGCGTCTAAAGGCATCTATTTGGGACACCTGAGACAAATCTCCCCGTGAGCGCAAACTCGTTCAGAAGGTGGATTGGTGGCTATTGAGCTACGCCTGCACCGCATATTTTATCAAATCTTTAGATCAATCCAATGTAAGTGACCCGTCGATCGGATAAAGCAAAGCTGATATTGACATGAACAGACTTCCAATGCCTACGTCTCAGGTATGAAAGAAGCCCTCGACCTGAAGGGCAATGACCTGAACTACCTCACGACATACTGGAACATCGGATATATCATCGGGCAACTCCCATCCCAGCTGGTCCTCACCAAGATCAGGCCGTCTATTTGGCTACCAGCCCTTGAGCTGCTATGGAGCATATTCGTCATGTCACTCGCAAGCGCAAAGAATGTCGAAACGCTCTTTGCGCTGCGCTTTTTGATCGGACTATGTGAAGCGTCCGCTTATCCGGGCATCATCACACTTTTTGGAAATTGGTATACACCACAGGAACTAGCGAAACGGAGCGCAATATTCCAGGCCTCTTCTAGCGCTGCCAACATGTTTTCGGGATATTGTATTCGGGTATGAATGGCCGTGCAGGTCTCTCTGCTTGGCAGTGGTTGTTTATTTTTGATGGTATTCTTGGAGTACCTATTGCTCTATACGGCTTTTGGGCTATTCCTGATTCTCCGAATGACTCGAAAACCCGATGGCTTAGCAAGGAAGATACAAAATATGCCGCGTGGAGAATGGAGGCTGTTGGCCGTGCACCAGCTTCGAAACTCACATGGAGAAAATTCCTAGATGTCTTTCGCTCATGGACGGTGTGGTTGTTTTCTACAGTCTTCATTGCTCACGTTTGTGGCTTGCGCATCTACTCGTATTTCAACGTGTGGCTCAAGTCAACCGGCAGATACACAGTTGAACAAGTCAACGTCATCCCCTCTGCTGGGTATGGACTGCAAATTATATTTACGTCCTCTATGCCTGGACAAGTGATTATTTGCAGATGCGTTGGCCTGTCATTGTATTTGCTTGTCTCCCAGCATTAGTCGGGACTATAATTCTCTCTATTTGGCCGGTGCATAACACCGCAGCAATGATGGCTGGTTGGCTGTTGACTTATGTTGAGAAGGGTGCTGGAATTATTTTCACGTCTTGGGTTAGTGAGACATGTGGTTTCTCGGCTGAGCATCGTATTGTTGTTATTGGGGTGATGGAGGCAGTCGCCTTCACATTCAATGCCTGGGTTCCTCTATTGGCTTATAATACCAGTCAGGCGCCACATTTCAAAGTCGGATATTAGATCGCGGCTATGTTCTTTGCGTTTGAACTTGTTTTGACTCTTGTGATTGCGGTGGTTGGGAAACGATGGCCAGCTCGGGGCGTGGTAAAAGAGAGGGAATCATCTAATGCATGCTAGCTATCCATAACTTCGTCATCCCTTATATCATTCAATATTAATATCCAACCCTGAGGCCCGTTGAAGGGCAGAGGCAGCCCTCTTCATAGTACGTATTATGATATTTGCCTTGCTGAGAACCATTGCGATAGTGCCGACTGAGATGCTCGGTCTTGGCCTACGTAACTCGCTATGGGAATGGCTGACGTCGGTATAGGATTCAACTCCTTGATGGATGAAGCAGTTGATGATGAAGCAGTTGATACAAGATATGACAGAAGTGACATAATTTTGCTAGGAGTTTACATACAAACTGTAGGTGACTGCTGTCTTGCTACTAAGGAGAGCGGTAGGCAGAAGCAAGTGTCGAGGCAGGTAATCAACCAAATTAGGAAGGCGGTACTGAAAATTCAGGCAGGGGCCTCAGCCGATCTAGGTAACTATGCTTTGTGATATGGAACAAGGGAGAAATGGCATGGCTCGTTTGTATGCAAACAAAACAAACTAGAAAGTCACTAGTAGTTATTAACTTTTTTTCTCACTCATCCTCCCTTTCACCTACTTATCCTCCCCTTTATTTAGGCGTCCTAGATCATTGTTTCTATTTTTTGATCGTGAGGCCTGAAATTGCCGTCTTGGAAGATGGCGGGAAAAAGGGCATTCGACTCAGAGGGCGCTCAACATGCCAGCGAAGCCGTGAGGTTCAATGCCCGTACATTGAAAAAGCTACAAGCCGCAATCACGAAAGATCCAGAGATCGACTTGGCCGATCAATTCCCCACTCGATATTCGGAACGTCTTATGGAAATGAGAACCACAATCGAAAGCCCTCCGAGTAAGCACCACAATACCGCAATTCAGTCTCTCCTTATTTGCATAGCTGACATCATCTGCTAGAGAAAACCAGAACTGCTGATGAAGACATCCGAGAATCCATTTGCCCATCAGACCCGGTTGAAATCGTGTTTCCTCTCTCGGATGCGGTTGCAAAATTACTCGAACCGATATCACAAACTGCGGAGGGTTTGCCACTCTCTCAAAGGCTGTTTGAAGTCCTAAAGAGCAGTGAGATTCTTTGGAAAGCTCCCTTCTACCGGAAAGGAGTGTTCAAATGCTCTTCAGAAATCGTTGTCAAAGCCATTCGCAATATGGAGCACAATACTGAATATACCGCTTTACAATATCTTAACCGTCATAAGCCAAATATTCTAGTACCAAAGCCTCTTGGCTTAGTACGTATGGGCCGGATTTCTTTGATATTCATGACCCATATGGGATCTACGACACTTGGGGAAGTCTGGCATACACTCGAGTCTTATCAGAAAACCTCCATTAGCAACCAACTCAACACGATACTTGCAGATTTGAGAACTCTTCCTTTTACAGAAGGCACTCCTCTCGGAGGAGTCGCAGGTGAAGGCTGTAGAGATCTTAGGAGGCATGTTCGAGTGAGCGAGACACCTATCGTCAGCCTTGAAGATTTTGAAACATTCTTATTCTCGAGCCCGCATCCAGGCGGCAACGTGTTCATCAAGTTTCTCCGTCAATTATCACCATCGGTTACCAACCATTCGGGCCCTCGCATCGTGTTCACGCACGGAGACATCAGGCCGGACAATATCACGGTTAAATTGACCGACAACGACTACATGGTTTCTGGGATACTTGACTGGGAATATAGCGGGTTCTACCCTGACTATTATGAATCTGTGCGGTGTACAAACTGCCTGAGGCCTTACGAGGAAGATGACTGGTTTTTATATCTGCCAGACTGTGTCTCACCAACTATCTACGCTCAGTGGTGGCTTTTGGATCGAGTTAGGCAAAGCAGAGTTCTATGAGTCGGCTATTTCAAAAGTAATGAACATGAGGGTATAGTCCTCGATATCGTCCGCATTCAAGGAATGGGGCCGTTGACTAGACCTTTACGGGGAACCTGTGGGATTGATATCGCAAGAACCGTCGACGGTACAATTTAGAATGATCTCCCCTTCTTGGCTAGCGATATGACCGAGTTCTGGATCAATAACGGCGGCTCTATGTCGGGAATACACTGTCTCAACTTTACAACATTCCTAGCCAAACTCGCATCCACTCGTGTCGCTCAGGATAGGCTGTGCCAAGTTGCACTTCTGATCTTCCGTGATCTCTTTGAAAGCTCTAAAACACTCCGGGGTGAGAGCGAGTCAGACGAGGAAGACCTCAACCGAGGTATCTATCAGCTTGAGGTCTTTAAACTATTACCAGCTGCTGTTACTTGGCTGAAAAATGTAAACCACAACCTCCTCTTACTATCAGACGTGTATTGGAACGAATGCCCCAGCGATATTAGTAAGGGTGGCGAGAAGTTCCTTGAATCGGAGCTCGGACAGCGATTACCTGCTGGATTTTCGCTATAGAGATACATATTCTGGCTGAAGCAACTCTACGAGATTCAGGAAGAAGCCAAGGAGGCCAATGAGAAAGCCCTAGAAGAGCTTGCCACTGATGGCATCTAGTACATGGTCATCATAATCAAATAAAGGGATTCAGAGGTCCTCAGGGCTTACAAGAATGGTGGCGATGCCCTGCATCAGGATAAGAATCTTTCGTGCCTGAAGCCCCTTGCACGTGTTGGGGAGCCAGAGTCGTAAGGCTTAGTGTTGCTCCAGAAATCAGGTCATGTGGGCCCGCCTGAGACCTCACGTTGGTCAGGCGGTCAATGTTCACGTTGATACCCCTAGTTTAGGCTTATAGAAATGCTGTTTGGTCTGGAAAGTGACTACACGTCAGTTGGGCCCGCCTGAGAGTTCAGTAGGGTTAGCAGCCTGAGGCTACCAGCCAAGAGTTCTTGTGTGCCTTACGGGTTTCAGTACCATACTACTTTTTTATTAGTTACATAACCACCAACATCACTTGTCATATAACTACCGCTACCATAGTGAAGTACGCGATGCATGTAAGTATAACCCTATGAGATGATATGAAAAGGCCCTGAAAAAGATGGAAATACGATAGATTAAAGATGAAACTAACAGTTGTTCACATTTAGACTGTATACAAATGGTACTGCACTCTGAAATCGCGGGAGAGTAAAGATCTCCCTCAACTAAACGATCGTAACGAGTATATATATAGGGTATTGTTAGGTATACCCCCCCCTTGGATAATCGTACCCCCCCTTTTGTTATTCGTACCTCCTGTGACGATCTAGGAGGGATTGTACGTGCTAAACGAGGCAGGAGCGGTCACGTCCTCGTACTTGCCAAACGAGGTAGGAACGACTATGCCCTTGTACCTTCCTAAGTGGACGAACGAGAATTAAGCGAGACAAACGCAAGGGTATAAGAAGGGAAGAACGCGTACTCAGATAGTTTCTCTTTTTCCTTTTCTTCTTTGTACTTAGAATTTGGTTTGAATTGCACTCTTTTCTTCTGAATCGAATTGGCTCGTAATACCTCCCCTGCCTGAATTTTCAGTATCGCCTTCCTAATTTGGTTGAGTACCTTCCTCGATACTTGCTTTTACCTACCGCTCTCCTTACCGCCTCTGAATTTAGATACCGCTTTTGTGTTAAACTGTATATAATAAGTAGCAAGACAGCAGGTACCTGCAATTTGTATGTAAACTACTAGCAAAATTAAGTCACTTCTGTCTCCGTACATACAAATGTAGATTAGATTAAACGAGTTGATAATACAATTCTGGTTTACATATTGACCTACCTTCTTCCAAACCATTTTTTTTTCTGATCAAAATGCATGCTTTTTTACTATATAAACTAGAATTCATACGGTGGTAGTGGCAGAATATATGGCAGAAAAGCAGAGATTATGGCAAAATCAATGGTTGTACCAAATTAGGAAGGCGGTACTGAAAATTCAGGTAGGGGGGTACGAATAACAAAGGGGGGGTACGATTATCTAAGGGGGGGTACACCTAGTTAGTTAACAACACCCTATATATAAGAATGTATCCCTTGGAAATCCCTTGTAAATATACCACATATTTCATACCAAAACGGGATGATCTAATCAAAGATACCGTACATTTCCAGGCCAAACAGCATTTCTATAAGCCCAAACTAGGGGTATCAACGTGAGCATTGACCGCCTGACCAACGTGAGGTCTCAGGCGGGCCCACATGACCTGATTTCTGGTCTGGGGAAATGTACGGTATCCCTGCTGCCTGAATTTTCAGTACCGCCTTCCCGATATGGTACCACTCAGAATTCTGCCATATTTCTGCCTCCCAGTAAAAAGACATGCATTTTGATTAGAAAAACCGTATAATCTACCTGATTCCTGTAGGATTTAGCCCCTTAATGGCTTAATGGATGAAGCAGCTGATACAAAATATGACAGAAGTGAATTAATTTTGTTAGAAGTTTACATACAAACTGTAGGTAACTGCTGTTTAAGCCTGTTGCTACTACTCCGTATCATATGCAGTTTACAAAAGCGGTGTACAAAATAGGAGGCGGTACTGAAAATTCAGGGTGCGAGCAACAATTCCCCAAATATTATCAAAGCCACATCTGGTGTAAGTGGTCCACTGACTATCTTAGAATGGAACAATGACATGATTGAATGCCTACGTCCACAAGAGATCTACCCAAATGTTGATGGGAAAGAAAACCATGGGTTGTATTGTGTTGGCTGGCAGAGAGAGAGAGAAGAATAAGACCAAACAAGGTAGGGAGTAGGTCCTATCAATCTGAGGCGGAAAGGGTCTCAACACATATCCTTTGATTATGTCTCCACTCTGAACTTAAGCGTTTTCTGAACATCAAATGATAATTTAAAGCTCTACAGCATCGAAACAATACTGAAGCAAAGCACTTGACTTGCGAGAAGGTACTAACAGTAGCAAGACTTAGATTGTATACATAGCCATGTACAGCTGGCCAACAATCTTGAAAATTGTCAGAAATGCTACTGCTACTACTAATGACACTCAAGTGTGGTAATAAAGAGAACTGTAAACAAAGACAATCACTGGGAATGTACGAATATATCACCCCAATACAGACGCTGCGGTGGCCATTAGGTCTCGCAGTGCATAACGACTGCGGGCTTCAGTTCTATTGGCTTTTATTGCCAGCAGAAAATTGGCCATTTCCAAGGTTAATTGTGGATTTTCAACTTATTGAGCACTTCTACAACTGTACATTCTTACGCGCTATATCGTTAAGGAGTACATCACTAAAAATCTTTATGAACTTTTCATCACGTCCATATAGTGGTTATATTTAACCCCGTTGAGAGGCCTTGCACCTGAATCTAGCATGTATACCCTTAGAAGATTCAATGTGAGAGGCTCCTACATCCCTGAAAACATGAGCTATTCTAGAGCGTATTGTTTCGAGAAAATGACAATCTTTGTTATGTTTGATTTAGCATACATTCTACGAAGTATACACCGAGGATGCGCCTATATTCCAACCCTTTTAACATTAATTTTACCATCACCCCGATAATAGTACCGTACATATATGCACGGAGTACTCGGTAGGCACAGAGTGATACTTCCCGAAAAGGGAAAGAGTGAGTTGGCCATGGCGCATGTGGCGGTGAAGGAAGTAGAAAATCCCCGCAACCCCCCACTTGTGCGCTGAAAAAATAATAAACTTGTTGGATTCGGATTGGATTTGGTTGAAGAATTGTCGACACCCGGCTAATAGGCAAAAAGGACTTTAATTGAACGCCATGGTCAATTAAAACAGGCACAAATGGGATTCCTCTCAACACATTCGGATCAAAACAGCGGGCTTGTGTAACCGACGCAAGGAAAATCAGTTGACATCGTACCTATCCGGAGTATTAACATTGGAAGGTTCAAAAGAATATACCTTTGGGTCCGGAGTCCGAGTTGAAGGGGGGCTGATCAGGACGAAGTTGGTGGGAAGACTATGACGAAGAGCAAGATCAGACAAAAAGAGGCGTATTGCCGAAGTGTGTACTGCGCGTCATTAATTGCCGTGCTGCCCGATGTTGGCCTGGCCGAATAAGAGATCGGGCTCGGCCATTTTCAGCAGAGACGAATGGCATCCCTGCGATATTCACCAAGCCATGGTTTTGATCGATTGAGGACGGTGGTGTCACAGGGTTCCTCGGTAGACGGGGCATATCGTGAGTCGTCAGGCTGTAAGGCATGCAGACTGGCTTTTAGGCATAGTGAGGCATCAACGGGCGGGAAAAAAGAGAACAAGCAGATTTAGAGTCCGCAAGGAAGATCCAGATCCAGTGTAGAACACCCACCTGGAAGGATATGCCTTGCAGTCCCATTTCCTTCCCACCTAGTTAGGCACTGCGTGGTCTTGATGTCAGCAATTATCTGGGACCAATGATGAACGGTCATGGGCGGCACAGCATCTCTCGAAATATAGTATTTCCGACGGGGCTTGCCGGATGGCTTCCCTTTATCATACATGCCCCATAGCTATTGTCAAGCAAGTCATCGACTATCTGCATAGAGTGGGGAGCAGCTGCGTGCTCTTCCCACGTTGATGGGCGTCTAGAGCGCTTCTCGATGCAGCGATGATTTCCTCTGTCCTGCCTGCTGTCAAAGGCTCTGATGGCTATTGGTGGATTCGTGCGAGAGGGGGGTCTTTCTCGTCGGGTGCAGAAATAACAGCCGCATCCAGGCGGGCAAACGGAGGAAGGATCAACGTTCACTTTGTGTATTTTACTTTCTCCTCTTGTCATTGGACCTGGACTTGTTGCGCATTGGTCGCACGGTTTTCCCTTTTTGCTCATATATTGCTAGGATGATTCTTGTTAGAACCTTCCAAAAGAAGCATGGGGTCACCGAGTCGGGAGCAGTTTCGAATGCCAATATTCCTCACGGTCCTGTTATTCATGCAGTGATGTCCAACATTCTCCGTGTGACTTGAATTGAATGCAGCGATCTTACTTTCGGGCTCTTGGGCTCCGATCCCAACGACGATGTAAGGCCGCGAGACATCCCGGGAATCTGTTTGGTTTTCGCGGAAGCGCGTATTCAACCACAACTATACAACTACAACATGTGCATATGTATAGGAAGCCGATGAACTAACTATCATGTTAGACCTTGACAGTTGAATGGAGAAATTTGTCATCCCGGCTCCTGTGTAGTCCGTCTTATCTTTGGCTTTGTTTCGAACGAATCAACATTCATCGTCCTCTTCCCAGCCCCCGAATTTCTGAAGAAAAAATCAGTTCAACGGGGATGAGAGCGGGAAGGAAAAAGGATAATTGAGAAATCAAGAGAAAAAAGAGTCGAGAAAAAGTGGGAGTAGGAATGACGGCGAAGGCCATATTTATATCTCACCTTTCCACCAACTCCACCCATCCTAACCTCATCGAACGCCCTTTCTAGTCAATTGCTGAATAGTCCTAGTCTGCGCTTTGGCCCGAAATTTGAAACCAGGAAGAG